ATAAAAGTACGAGTCATGCACCAATAAGATGAATTGTACAATACGAAACGATACTATTAATTTTGTGAAAGTATTATTTACAATCGTGTTTCTTTATATTTTCTGTAAATAGGTATATTGCTGTACAACTTTAGACTAAAATATGTTACTGATCAGAAATAATGGTTATTGAATATATCGATTGAACCGTTTATTATCTTCATGTCAATCAAAAAATGGAGAAAATCTGTTCTCATCATCGATGGCATTGAGCTCAGCAATGAAGAAACGTTTTGATTCGAAACAATACAAAGAAGCTCTAAATCTCTTCGATCAAAATTTTGAAATATCTACCGATTCGACTATTGATATGGCAATAAAAGCGTGTACGATATCAAAAGATTACAAACGTGGTATTCGTATTCAACAAAGACTTTCATCCAAGTCACGAAACAATTCTTATATTCAAGCTGCGTTACTTTGCTTTTATCGTAAGTCATTCACTACTTAGCACAATTATATATCGATAGTGTTTTTTTGTTTTGCACTTTTAGTGGAATCTAAAGATATTGATAATGCAATGCATCTATTCTCTTCCATTACAAATAAGTCCAATTATATGTATACAGTTATGTTTAAAGGTCAATATTCTTTCAGAATGTTTCTTTTTTTATAAATATCTGTTATAAACAGGTCTAATTACTAATAATGTGGCAGAGAAGGTATTGGATTTATTCGATGAAATGAAAATTGACCCTGATCAGTTTAATCTCAGTATCTTGTTTAATCTCAGTATCTTGTTTAATGCATGTGCTGTACTTAATAATAATCGAGCAATGAAAATAGGAAAAAAACTTCTTGATGAAATGCCTCAGAATTATCGAAGTAATAATATTACATCAACTTCAGCAATTAATATGTTAATGAAATTTGGTGATGTTGAAAGTGCTGAAAGAATTTTTCGGTCAATCAAAGCAAAAGATATTATTACTTACGGAGCTATGGTGAAAGGTAATTAATAAATAATATGTTTCATAATATATACAGAATTTTACTTAGGTTATGTTGGAAATGAAATGTTCGAAAAAGCATTGGATTTATTTGAGCAAATTCATCTCAGCTTGACGAACGTAATTTATACTATTGTTTTTAACTGTTGTGCCAAACTTTGCAATGATCGAGCAATGAAAATAGGAAAAAAGCTGCTTGCTGAAATGCCTGAGAATTATCGACATGATAATATCACATCAAATTCAGCAATTGGCATGTTAATGAAATTTGGTGATGTTGAACGTGCCGAACGAATTTTTAGATCAATCAAAGCGAAAGGTGCTGATATTTATGGTGCTTTAATGAATGGTTATAATCTGAATGGTGAATCATGGAAATGTTTTAAGGTTTTTGAAGAAATGAATGAAAAAGATATTATTCCTAATGAGATTGTATGGAATATACTTATTGGTGCATGTTCAAAAAGTGGGATGCTTCATCATTGCCAATATATTATGAATCAAATTCCTTTGAATATTCGGAACAAGATTCGAACACAAAACGCATTGATTGATATGCGGGTAAATATCGATTTCAGATATTAATCGGCTAATCGACTGTTTATTTTTTTGTCTTCGGAAGGGTAAATGTGGTTCAATTGAAAAAGCAATGAACGTATTTAATTTAGTTGTTGATCGTGATACTATCACATACAATGCCATGAGTAATAATATTTTCTTTCATGAAAGTTTTATGATAAGTATAGAAATTTCTTTTTTAAGTCAATGCATTTGCTCTGAATGGAATGGGTACACAAGCTGTTGAATTATATAGAAAAATGCCTAATAATCTACGTGATCATATTTCACACATTTGTGTTCTTAATGCATGTTCTCATGCAGGTCTTCTTCATGAAGCTCGAACTATCTTTAATGAAGTTTCTTTGAAAACAGAATCAATCATCACTACCATGGTTCAATGTTTTGTTTGTTTGTTTAAATATTATATTTAATGAATTCTTTTCTTTTTAAGGTTGATTGCTTAAGTCGTTTATTTATGTTTGATGAAGCACAAAAGTTGATTGAAGATTATGAAAAGACAAATACACCGAGTATTGTCATGTATAGTTAGTATTACTTTAATAATATTATATTGTTGTTTTATCAAATTCTTTATTTTTATATTAGTGTCTTTGTTATCTGGTGCACGTAATAGTCGAAATAGTAATTTATCTGAAAAAATATATAAGCGAATGAAAACTTTATTTCCTAATGCAAGAGAAGGTCTTGTATCCGGTATAGTTCTTCTTTCAAATATATATTCGTCATTAGGCAAATATGAAGAAGCTAAACATTTTCGCTCTAATCAAATAGAAGAATTGGGAGTCAAAGTAAAAGTAGGATTATCATGGACTGAAATAAAAGGTCATATAGTGGTAAAGTAGTTTCTTTTAAATTTAACATTTAAGTATAAGTCCTTTGTTGATTCATTTTTAGCAACTTAAAGCTCATGATCATTCTCATCCACAATCAACTGAAAGCTATGCTAAAATTGATCGTTTAAAATCAAAAGCGATTGAAAATGGTTTCATATTTGATTCATCTTGGATAACTCGTTCATTAAACGAAAATGAAACAATTAAATCTGTTTTATGTGGTCATAGTGAACTATTGGTAATCGCTTTGAATTTGATTCAAGAGCCTGCTCCAAAATTTATTCAAGTTGTTAAAAATCTTCGTGTTTGTGGTCATTGTCGTAAGTAGATATTCTATTATTTTCATTTCAATCAATCTTCAACATTTGTTTTTTTAATATTTAAGATGAATTTACCAAAGTGATAGCAAAAATTGAACAGTGTGATATTGTTGTTCGTGATGCTAATCGTATTCATCACTTTTATCCAAATGGTTAATGTTCGTGTCAAGACTATTTTTGATCACTTACGATAAATTTATAATCTAAAATGTTGTTCTAGGAAAGATGTTGTTTTTTTCTAAATAGATTTTGTTTATTAAGTAAAATTAAAAGAATTATTATTCGTTTTGTTCTTTTGCTAAAGTCTTTGTTTTCTGTGTCTCAAATATGAGGATATATAGAATCTAACGAACGAAAGTTCTAGGGTGTTGATTCAAGGTTTTCGATGGAAATTTAAACACGGTTTTCAGATCTAGGATGCGCATCTACAATGTAAATGAAATTAGAGACTGAAACTAGGGCACGGGCGTCCTCATCACTAGCATCCACATCCTCAGCCACACACCCTTTTAGGATGATGATGTATTCATTGCATTGTTGGGATTGGTGCCCAGGTCATTATCGATCAGTCGGTTCTTGTCGGACGGGTTATAATTCCGATGTCACATGGTGACCGGATTCTCCGAGAACCGGCCAGATTTACATTGCCGGAAAATATCAGGTCATATGATACGATTGGGCCATATACGACGTGATCTGACAATATCCGGTAACGAAACTTTACCGGAATCCGCAGTGCCGCATGACGCTAGATTTCATGGTAGATCCGGCTTAATCAGTCTCATCGGAACCAATCGGATCATATCAGAACCGAACGGTTCTACTCACCGGGTTAAGCCACTTACTAAAACACAGATCTGACAGACAACGTTTACAACTAATTACCAGATGCTAAAGGAAGATCCTATAATCCATTCCGACCCGTAGTTAACAGCTCACAAAACCGATGAGAAGCACGAATCAAAAATTATCGTTCATCAGCTTACATACAAACCATCAGTCTACATGAACAACATGAATAAGTATTTACTAATCCCACACGAAGTTATCCACCCGAACGAATCTCACTCAACTCGCTTATCATAACTCCAGCCAATATGACTTAATTCTACGCCCGACTCCTCGTCAAATCCCAAATCCACAACCATTAATGACTACTCCGGGCAAGCAAAACTTCCCATGTACACACACTCTTCTTCCTCTATGCAATTCGATAAAGTTTAAAACGTGTTACACACGTGCTTCCTCCGTCTGACAACACCAAAAGCATCATTTCAACTCACCAACAAACGCTTTTGCGGACGCTCCAATGTTGCTTACACATAATATTAAAAATTCATCATCCCATCAAACCGCTTTCGGACGTCGCTCAAAATCCTGTTCCACGCAAAAAGGCGATGCTCGGATCATCGAGAATGCTCAACTCGACGATTCTCAATGTCTTAGCAAATTTTTCGATACGTCCGGATAAGCTGTGGAGTGATTTTCGTCGAAGGAAAGTGCGGTTAGTTCCATAATGAAAGATGCTTAGAATCGTGTTTAATGAAGAAAAGCTAAGTTGGAACCATCGAGAGTGATTATCTGAACGATTCATTACGACTTATGACATGTTTGGTTGGGTGGAAAATGATGCGTGGTGCAATTTTTTAAAAAGTTTTGATGAATAAGATCCCTGGTTTTTTACTTTTAAAATGTTAGTACTGCATGAGAAAGTTAGTGGTGAGCGGCCTGGAGTTTCATTCAGATCCAATTTCTGTGAATTATCAATGATTTCGATGGTTGCAACATGATGTTTGGAGCAATTTTTCGCTGAATTAGTGTGCGAAAGGACGATTCTTTAAATGTGTTTAGAATGATATTTATTAATGAGAAAACTAGTGGTGATCTTCCAGAATGATATTTAGATGGATTTTCTATGAATTATTAATCTTTTCGATGGGTTCAAAATGATGCTTGGAGTGATGTTTCCAAGAACGGAAATGCAAGAAGATGACGCAGTAAACGAGTCTATAATTAGTTTAATGAATACGATGTGTTGTAGGATGGTTCTGGACCATTCAAAGGGTGTATATAGCTGAGTCAGATGTTGTTCGTTCTGGGTTACAAGTTTTCTCATAGTGTTCGCTGCGGGGGGGAAATGCTTGTTGGGGATCTGTTGGGTGGTGAGGGTATGGATTATGTCTGATCAGTCAGGGGACGTAATCGTGTCAGGTGCTGTGCGTTTTCTTGAAGAGTACAGTTGATCCATCTTGTGATTGAAGAACGCTTTTATGAGAGATTCTTTATGCATCCTTGTCACGGGAATCTGATGGAATCCGGCGTCGATCGGTTTCGATAATGTTCGTTTGTGTTATCCGGGAGGAAACGACCGGATCATTTTCCTTTGATTTCCGGCCCGGATTCCGGGAGCAGAGATTCCGGCGAAATCCCTGTCGGATCCTGCCAGATTTGAGTGGGAAAGGTGCCGGTTTCCGGAGTGATCCGGTGCTGGTTCCGGAGGCAGGATCGAGTGTCTTGGGTGGTTAATGCTAAAAGAAGTAAAACTTTGAATCTATTTTTCTTATATATTTTCTTTAATATTTCAAGGGGAAATTGCTGTTCAAAGTAACAATATATGAACAACTCTATTCGATATCAAAAATCAAGTACGAAACCAGGAAAATCTGTGGTACTATCATATTGTATCAAATAGATGATTCAATTGATAACAGAAGATTAAATATTCTAATAGATGAGTCATTTCTTCGTGTAGGAACATTTTAATGGAACTCGAACAATTAGTTTCTATATTAAGAAAAAAGCAGTAAAGAGCAAGTAATGAAAAAAAATGAAATATTAATGCACACTTCACGTCAAGGTAAACAGATTCAAAAGATTCATAGTATTTGTATTTTTAATAGTTGTCAGAATGAAATCTTCTCGCATGAAATAATTAGCCTTTTTTGTTAAATATAAAATTATAGCTATTTGATTATTTATACTGCCACGACGAGGAAGTATTATTACTCTAAATACGTTTACCTTCTCCAACGCTACATACAAAAGGGAATTTAGAGGTGTCAGAAAAAAGCAGGAATCAATTATTCAGTCAATTTCACCGTTGCTCACTTCTGATTCGCATGTAAATATTCCTTTTTTATTCCTTTTCAAGAAAACAATAAAATTAATATCATGAAATCCTAAATGGTTACATAGAAGCTTTTATTCGATTGATGGAAAACAAAATTGAAACGAGTACAAATAGAAAACAGAAATATTGTAAACGGATCGTACATATATCATTCGAATTTGATTATTAGATTTTTTTGGTCGAGGAATATTGTCAAATGTACAGAAATATGAATGCATAGTGTCATCAAACCATTTTCTATTCAAAAAATAATTTGTTTTCTTTTAAAGATAATGTCCGATCGAGGTTTCACGAAAGATTTATTTAACGATTATGAGTAATATCTTTTATTGAATTACAATGTGAATACATTTGATGAATTGTTACTCTACGAGTACCATACATTTATTCATCCTATTCCAATCTGTGAGTCTAGAAATGGCAAAAATAAGAACGATCATCATGGAAAAATCTATCTTGAAAAGATGAAATAATTCAGGGTTAAAATTTAAAAGTTACATTTCGTTCGATTATCTTTTTTTTATTAAATAACAGCAATTATTTGATTAGCTTGAATTGAAGATGATAAATTGCAATACTTACTCAGTCTACAAGTGAAATAATACTATTGAGACAATATTCGTAGTCTAAATAAAGAAGATGATAAAAATCTCATATAATTATCGAAGGAATAATTCATTTTCTTATTTTTGAAAACCATTACGACTTTTATTTCTTTTAACATACATAGATGAATAAATTTAACATAATAGGAGACAATAACATCAAAATAACTATAACAATATATTTATCATTTTTGGAATCTCATTGTTTGCTAAACTTCTAATTAACTTTATTTCGTTTTCGAAGCTGATGGTGCACGCATCTTGTGTTATGTCAATATTATTTTCATTACTGATACGAGAACACATTTATCGAAAGCAACACTTATATAAAGAAAAGCAAAAGTTGATACTGTTAGATGTGAGCATTGCAATAGTTTTATGTCAATTCTTTGAACAAATAAAGTTCACATACGAATTTCTTACTTGGGAAAATAAAAAATTTGAAACTCAGTAAGATTAGGATAGTTGGCTGTAAGAAGAATACGTTTCATGGAAATTGATTCAAGAATAGAAGATTTGATATTGTTATGAATTCGTGGCAACATATTAATATAAAGTCGATCTAGTATTGAATCAGAAATTGAACAAATCTCATTAGTTATTGATAATGATATCGAAACAAAATTAAGCGTATTAGTGAAAATTCGTTCTTGTGGTATAATATCAAGTCGATGAGGATAAGTGTAAAATGGAATTTTGTTTGAAATGCTTTGGTCACCTATTTTCCATGTGTTCTGTAGAACACAATTTTTGAGAGATTCATAATTGATTTGTTTGCGACTTTTTCACCAACCAGTAGTTCAAACTCTTCTCTATTGCTCTAAATTAATCCTAGATTTATAATTCAAAAAATCTTTCGTAAAATGTCATTTACACTTTACTGAGAGGTAAAGGATTTTTCATGATCGGATACATGTTGCAATGACGAAAAATACCGGATTGGTGGAAAGATAGACCTGCCGCCAGAGCAAAGCTTTTCGTTTCAAAATGCAAAGAACTATCAGCACCAATCGTTTGTTTCTTTCTCGTCGTCTAACATAAGTTTTTTCATGAGATTTCGATGTCAAAAAGTGTATGTTATTTTTTGTTGATGATGATGAGTAGTCAGATAATCATCAATTTTGTAGCCTTATTCGATTAGAATTTTTCTCAAAAGTAACTAAATAATCATCAGATAAATTCATTCAGACTCCATAGTAGTGGCGTAACCAGGGGTGGGCCAGGTGGGGCTTAGCCCCACCACCGGGACTTCAAGCCCCATCACATGGATTTTAAGACTCTACCACACTTACTTTGAAGTAACTTAGATTTTCAATAAAAATCGACAAAATTCAATTAGGACACTTTTTCATGGATCTTTAGCTATTGAGAATCGATGCCAAATGATAGATTGAAAATAATATAGTTCCATCTTTCTATCAAAACAACAATGAGAAATACATGACTGATGATCGCCCAAGTATTTTGTATTTATTACGTGTCGAGTGTGCTTTTGACATAAATGTTCAGCAACTTATTGATAAATTATCAGATACTAATAGAATAGTCGGATTCTGTTGAAATAAAAAATTCTTTTTTTCTCTTAATAATATTCTGATCATAGGTCTGAATCAACTGATAACTCATCAAGATTCTCAGTGTGTAAGCATAGCTTTTTAAATTGATTTTGATGCTATTTTTGAGAGTACATTGATGTGAATCTCCACACACAAATTGATCAATGCATGAAAATGACGAGTAGAGTGTTGAGTCCAAGACTTTTTGATTCGGATCCTGTCGAACCGTAATTTTGTACTGTTAGTAAAATATTCTAATCATAATTAAAGAGTTAATTCTAGGATATGAGACGCTTCTTCTCGAGTTTCATCCTGGGTGATGAACGTACGAACATATTTTCAGGACCATCTTCATTACTAGAGACCATCAAACCCAAGACTTTTAAACCCGAAATCCGATTCCGATCCAATGAAAAATTATTTTAAGATTTAACAGGCTCTAGTGGTGAGGCAGTCTGAGGGCTGAGCCCCAGCAACCTACAACTTCTGGTTACGCCGCTACCTCTGAAAGGAAAATTTATCCGACTTGTTGTTGCTGCTCGTATGTTTCCAGCTTCTTTGTCGACAGATGACTATATTTGTACCAGGTGTCGCTTATTGTATAATCAGTGAACAACTCTAAGAGAATTTTGGGATGCGATGAGGATGATCCACAATAACCATCAAACGACAACTACAGCCACTTACGACATCAGTGGCCAAGCTGAAGAGGTCAAAGAGCGCTAAAATGACGAAAATGGCACCATTTGGCTGATTCTTAACAGATCAAGTGACACTGATTCGATGGATGATGGCTCTTCTGCAGTTCAAGTGGTAGATGTATCCTCTAGTGATGATGACTCGCTCAATCATTCAGCTGGCAATCGTGGCCAAGTAGAAGATGCAGAAACTATTTCGGAGGGAAATAATGAAGCAGCAAATTTAGCTCGATATAGCGTATCTTTATTTAGCATTACTGTTCAAATGGACACTATCCCCTCAGAGGATAATACAGGGAAACAAGCTAACCATCTCCCAATTGAAGTTGCTGTACTTTCAAGAATGTAGATGCTTAGGATACAGAAAATTGACTTCTTTTTGTTTTATAGTCAATCTTGTGTTTCAAACAAAAAATTGTGAGTCCATCGGTGACTACTCGTGAAGAACATAGTAATGAAATGTTCATCTGACACCACATCGAAATATCTGCAAGATCCCGTTCCAGCAAAATACAACCTGCCGATAAACGTCTCTTACCAGAAGCAAAGTTGTCTCTGGTTCCATAAAAAGTGAAAGATCGATTTTTATATCGCCAAACCCTTATAAACTTCTTTCAATCGTAATGTACACGACTCAACACTAACAAGTACCTTGATTTCGACGAATGTATGTGCTTGACTGCTGCTGATTACATCAAACTGACTGGATTTACTCGAGCACAGCATATTTCATTTCATGTTTTATTGTCATTTTGTCGATCTTAAAAAGCTTTATCTGCGCAGAAAAAATAGCGATCTTAGAGTTTATTACGGTTGTGATTAGAAGAATATTACTCTAGTATTTCCAGCAGAAATCTACTGTTTCTAGACGCCGGGCGAGGCTCGTCGGATTCACTTGTAAGTTGGGAGAAAATGGTCTGAAAGTATGGAGAATAGTTTAGTCGCGCGGTGGGAAGCGTGAAATTAACAATTAAAACGTCTTTAAGTGTTTTGCATTGAGGCAGTTTTGTGCGCAAAGCGTCCCCCGTTAGAGGTGTCAGCCGAAGGGTTGAACGGCGGCGGCTGCTACAAGTTCTTAAAATTTTTTCCACAGCGGAGGCGCCGGCTTATATTTGTAACTCACTATGTGGCGGCGGCGGCTGAGTTAAAAATTCACTGATGGGAATTAAAGGAAATATGTTCGATTCGATCGAATATGTATTCATGTCAGCGGCGGCTTCCCAAAAATTTTTAAAATTACCAGTAATTTGGTGGCGGCGGCTGATATTATGGAAAAATCGGCGGCTGCGGCGGCTCAGTCGTATGGCTGACACCTCTATCCCCCGTCCTTGATCATCAAGATCGACCTTTTCTTGTTAGAATTCGCTGTATTACCTATATCTACACCTACACCCTAAACATGAATCTCAACTATTCATCAGCTATCCTTGTGATATGCATCTATAAGCAAAAAATGGATGATGGCGCAATAATAACAACCAAGAAATCAATGTTTAATAGCAAAAAAAAGAAGTTTTTCAAAAACACTAGCAAGCAAAAATGACTTTAGAGGAACAGAAAGTTGTATAACAACAACAAAATGACTTTTTGATAACAAAAAATAGGCTGTACAATAACAATCACTAAATATGATTGGGTAATGATAACGCAAGTTGAAGAAAACAAAATACAGAAAAAAGAAATAGTTTTACAAAAAGAAAATTCGAGTAGTATCATAAAAAAAATCAATGTGTTCTGTCACACGAATTAAATATTCTTTTACCCGTTTGAATACCGCCGGTATTTACTGTTGCACTTAATACAGGTTCGTCAATTGGGCTGAAAACACGTTTATAGTTATATTTAGCTGATTCTTCTTGAAGAATTAGCGAATCTCTTAATTGTATAATGGAAAGTTGAAGGTCACTCGAACCTTTAATATCTAAAATAATAAATAATTTATATAGAAACAATTTATTTTATGTTATATACGGTATATGTCCTTGGAAAAAATATCTATAGTCGATTCTTTCAATATATCATCACTACAAAATTTCATTTTTAGAACAACAATTGCATATTGTGAAAGCCCTTGAAATTCTCTCTCAATCGGTATATTTACATTATACCTTGCAACTATTTTGTGAAAGATTAATCGAGCATAATCCAGACACTCTGATGCCCAGATTCCCAAGACACTTTAGTTTCATTTTATTCCTAACTATTGTTTTACATACAGTGTCGTTGTGTAAATAGATTTTACAAGAAGTCATCATAAATTCTGATAGCGCTTGAAATTCTCTATCGTCTAGTGTATTGGTAGATTGTCTTGCATTAATGTACTGTAGAATAATTCCACTAAAACGTATGTCTCGTGTAGAAAATCGAACAAAATTCTTTTCTAGCAACTCATTCCTTTTTATTTCAGCTTTATTACCAACAAAGAAATTAATTGTTGAGAAAATCACGGTATATTTTAACGCTATTTTACATAGGCATTCATCCTGAGATTGGAAAACAAAAAACGCAAGAAACATTAAGAAAACCTACTTGCATTTAGAACTCCTCACAGTGGGTATATGTATGTAATAGTTACTAGAATTGTTTTACAGTGCATAAATGACAGCTAAAGAAAAATATATGAGATAGAAAATTTCAAGCGCTATAAGAGAGCATATTTCTTTGATTATAATTGATTCCTTCAGGAATGAGAATTCGAGCAAATAACTGCAAAATTAGCAAAAAATGCATAATTTTTGTATCCTTCTAACACTAGGGTGCATTTAGTATACTGAACGTTTTCTTACCATAAACAAAAACAAGAGAAACTATTTTTTTATAGGATGATAGAGAATTTGAAGCTCTATGAGAATATATAATGACTTCTTTTAAAATCTATTTACACAACGACACTTTATTTAAAACAATAGTTGGAAATAAAATAAAACAATAAAGTGTTTGGGAATCTGGACATCAGAGTGTATGCATTATGCTCGATTAATCTTTCACAAAATAGTTGGAAGGTAAAATGTAAATATACCAATTGAGAGAGAATTTCAAGGGCTTTCACAATATATAACTGTTGTTCTACTAATGAAATTTTGTAATGGTGATATATTGAAAGAATCGACTATAATTATTCTTTCCAGGGTATAGATATATTCAAAGAATAAACGATATTTTAAAAATGATGCTTACTTTGATATGTGGCTGATTGAAATAATGTTTTTAAATATTTTACTGGTACTATTCGAGTACTACCATTATATTCAGTTACTAAATCATCAATCTAAATATAATACTAGTGAATATTCATCATCGTCTAATTTACTGTATATTACCATAAATTTGGGTTCATGGGGCCCATAATGTTGCATTTTAAAACCAAAAATTAAATGCTCTATTGCCTCCCCAGCTTCCTGCATCAGGACCCCTATTTCAAAGACAAGAAAAGTTTTAGAAAGTCGATAAAAGAAAAGAAGAGAACTAACCTTTGGGGGTCCATATATCATGGTCCATGGCACAACTAAAATGATGAAATGCCCAATGGCCTAACTCGTGAAGAATCGTAAATAAAATGACCGATCCGTATTTAATAATAGTCTCAGGGTCATCATTCATTTTTGATTGCGTAATTAGCTAAATAAAATTTTTATTCAACATAATTAATTTTATGTATATTTAATATTTACTTCATTGTTAAGATAGATTATATCAATATCGGCTTCGTTTTCACGGCCTTTATAGCAGCCATATACGGCACAAACAATCGGAGGATCAAACAAATCATCAGTTGAGAAGATGATTTTAGGAATGTTTGCATTTGTAAACGTTCTTTTCATTAGTTCCATTATTGATATAGGAACAAAAGTCTAGAGAAAAACAAGTAAATTCTTTCGTATCGCTTTTCAAAACATACTTGGAACTTTCCATCATATTTATCATAGGGTATAAAATGACTAGTAAAATTCGTGAGAAGGTATTCATTTGACAGTATTAATGACAAACTTCGAAGAGCAATATTTAATGATGGACATGAATCGATCATAGATGGATCTAATCCAAATTTTAAGTGATAAATATTTAAATCACAAAACCCACTGATATCGTATGTATTGGACATCATCCAACACAACTTAACAAAATATCTAGAAAAAAAAGAGAAAAACTTCTAATGATATATTTCGACTATTATTACTATTATTATTATGATCATCTTTTCTAATTACAAATGAAAAAAAATGAACTATTTTAATTTTTATGTACATTATTGTTTTACTTTTAATTTTCAATAATGTATCATCACCATATGTAATAGTTCTTGATGATTGTTTTAGTTTTACGGATTTATGTGATTCACCATGATACATTATTTATATTCATTGGTTTACGTCATGACGTTACTAATTCGTTTGACATTTTTTTCTTGTAGCCTCATCATTAATCATGTTTGGGTGCGTTACTTGGTTGACGAATTGATTTCTTATCTACTATTATAGAAGCGATGTTCTTTTGTTTAATACATTGAAAGCAACTATACATATTTTACATTTAATTCTACGCTAAATATATATTTTGTATTGTGTAGGTAAAAGCAATGATAAATACAATCATTGTCTGCTATTAGAAAAATTCTTATTTATTTACTGCATTAGTTCAGTAAAAGAAAGCTATCAGATGATAACAGTTGTAACTAGATGGTATTCAAGTTTCACTCGAATACGAAATGCGATGCGAAGCAGGAATCTCCATCCAGGAAAAATCTGCAATTCAGAGAAATCTTGAATACTTTTTATGTCGACATGATGAAATTCNGTCGATTTTTATTGAAAATCTAAGTTACTTCAAAGTAAGTGTGGTAGAGTCTTAAAATCCATGTGATGGGGCTTGAAGTCCCGGTGGTGGGGCTAAGCCTCACCTGGCCCACTCCTGGTTACGCTACTAATGTTCATGTTTAAACACTGTTTTGAAAAACATTAATGTGATTAACGATCTAATCGATCGTAAGATATTGTTCTTATCAAACTTGAGGGTGTGGGTGTGTCGGTACGTGAACATGCACGATACCTACAATCGCAGCCACACCCACACCCACATTCTCAAGATCTAGCCTGCTATTTATTGGTGACGTTTTTCTATTAATTATATTTCTTGTTTAGTAGATTTTATTAGATAAGAATTTGTTGGCATTAAAATAAAACTAAACTATTTCAGATAGGTTCAAAAGATATAGAAATTTCAAAATATAGATTACCAATGTTATAACCTAACAACTTGGCATTATAATGAAAAAACATATTTTTAAATGCGAAATTCTTCAAAAGCCTTGCCTAGTGTTCAAAGAAAAAAATTTTCTTTTTTAAACCCATACTTTTTTCCAAGATCAAGAGAGAAATGTAGGTTATGAACACCATCAAATAAAATTAACTAAATAATAAATTAGTTTCATCGATCATCGAAGATTGTTGATAGTTTTGATGACTTTTTTGTTTTTGAGGAATGATTTATTCGCATTGATTCAATTTTCTTCTAAAACAACAATAGTTGTCTCAAGTCACGATAGAAATTCTAAGAGAGAAGTGACTAGTTGAGACTAATGACGAAAAAGATAACGAGGTGTAATAACTTTTCTCTTTAGTTGTAGCACAATGGTGATAGAAGTGAACGCAATGCTTTAAATATCCCAAACATGTGAAGATACTGAGTCAAGCAATCATAGCTTGACGGTATTTGATTATTCATCATCCTTAGTATGCTCAGTCATAGAAGATAACGATGATTTATTGCTGATTGGCTTGACAGTCAGGTGAATGACTCGATTGAATTTTTAAATGTCATCGATTACCGGCGAATAGTGACTGCGTGGTTGATATTTTTTATCATGAAGAAAATCCAAGGGGAAAAAGCTAACATTTTAAAATTTAAATCAAAAACGAAAATCAGAAAAATCTAATTTAAGCTGTTTCCCTCTTGATTCTCTCACTCTTTTTCATTTTCGTAATTTTTTTTTAAATTTGACATTTTTATCATTATAAGCATTCAATTAGATGACCATGAAATTGTTATGTATATATGTAAATGTATACATTACTTATTCTCGATTGCTAAGGTCTGTAATGGGAGCCTATCTGTAATAGAGGGGAGAAGTATATCTGTAATGGAGGCCTCCATTCATAAGTGTTAGTAACAGAGATCGCGAAACTTGAAGTTAAAACTTACACTCACTATTGCCTTCTAAATAGTGGCGTAACCAGAAAATTGTGGGTGCCCTGGCGGTGCCTTACAAGCTTTAAAAGAAATTATTCACAGTAGTTAATTTTTCCCAAAGCTCAACTGAATCTCCCAACTTTCTTTCATCTACAGAGAGAGACAAAAACAATGTATCTGCTATTTTAATAAATTAAATTAAACAACAAAAAGAAAAGTCAGGAAAAAAGTAAATCAACATAAGCTACTTCAACATTACGCTGCTGTTCTTATGACAATCAGACATTCTGGTTTTTAATGCGCTACGTATACAGTAATCAATTACTTATTTTTTATGTGATAAAAATATATAAAAATGGTTTGCAAAAAAACTTCGAACAAATCTTTAGTCTGCGTTAGGGGCTAGTTCAACTGTTTCCAAAAATATAGAGTAGTGAGGGGCTATTGTGAACATTGTTTTAACAATCGAAACATAAAGCTTTATAAAAGTTTTAATTTTTGTTATTTTTTCGACAAAAAAAGACTGACGTGTAGCGTGAACTGTTCTCTATATGTCTATCTAAAAATCTCCTAGAAATACCTTCAGGAACTTGTTCATCCGCTGTTTTGCTAGAAGCTTCGCAGTTTGTTCATGATAGCCCCACTGTGGGTTATTATGAACACTTGCTGTATAGCATGGGGCTATTATGAACACTCAGCTAAATTACCAGTAATAATTGTAGTTCATTCCAAATCACTTTAGTAATCATAGGAAAAAGATTAATTAGTCATTTTTTCACTAATAGATAGAGCATAGTTTAGTCTATAATCGGTAAAATTGATCAGTCTACATACTTTATTTTGAGTTAACAGTAATAAAAACAATACAGAGCAATAAAAAATAATGAAAAAAAAATTCGTTCATAATTACCCCATCGGGGCTATTATGAACACAAGCCAGATATACGGGGTAATTATGAACGTTCTGCTAAAATGGCTACGATATCTAGGTTTTATATCTGATCACTTTCCAAGCAAATACGACATCGAATTGAAATTCATCTGCTAAAGAAATTATAGATAATATAGTTATGAATATTTGGATACCAATCACTGTGTCGTATCGATGAATGATAAAAATTCAAGCAACAAACAATAAATCATGTCCTTTAATCAGCATATTTTTATGACTCATTCATTCTATTTTACACTGAATTTTTGATAAATAGATTAATAATTTTACATTTTAAGCTTTTATGAATTCTCAAATAGATTTAAAATCATGAAAGGTACGATAACTAACAAAAAATAATGACAAATAATAGAAAAATCCAAAGAAAAGATGTTAAATACCATACTAATCAGCAGTATCAATAGTAATTAATCTCATTTTCTTTAAGAACTAAGAATATAACCTGTAGATTCTTCATCAATGCAAGAAAAAAATAGGTTTCAGACACCATCTCAGTCAAAATTGTTAAAATTAGAATACTGCATGCGGTATATGGTTTCAGCAGAAACAGGTCATCGATTCATTCTAAGTGTCAGACAACACAACGGATAACTATTTGTTGATAAATTATCAGAAATGGTGAAGACTGTTGTTAATATTCACACTGTAATGTATCGCATAGATATAGTAACGATACTACTTTGTAAGGCCTGAAGAAACGAAAACGGTTTTAGCTGCTTTTAGTCATTGAAAAAAGACTAGGCCTCTGTTACTTCAGAGTGAAAATGATACATTCTAGTCTGTACTATGGAACACTTGTACGAACCTATACGAAGTTATGTAAATCTTGCATCTTGCTGAATATAATCTTAACAGGGAAACAAATAGAATATTTGAAAGCTTAGTGGGATCAATAATGGGCATATTATGAATTCTAAAGGAGAATTTCAGTCGTTATTCTGCTTCCAAATGTGTAAAAGAATCGAAACGCTTTTTATTTAAGATGAGATTGATCTTCTTTCGCCAATGACTACAGTTTCGATAGGTTTTGAATAGATACTATCGTATCAACAGAATTTCGAGGGATATCATCAACATGACCTTCGTCTTACATTCTACGATAATGGTTTTTCCTGAAACATAGCACATATGTATTTACAAGTCTGTATCTTTTCTCATCACAAAGACACGAAGTATTACCCATGATTTAGCAAGACTTTGAGACTTACAATATGTTGTATCTATAAAAACGCTAAAGGAGAAATTGAGATATGAGGTGTAGAGTACATCGTTCATTTCAATAATACAACCGTATTGTAACATGAAAATAATGCGAATGTCAAGGAAAACAGTCTAACCTTGTGCTCTAGCAGTTTAATCTTCTGTGCTGGTTATGAAGCTGGGGTTTCACATTTCGACTTAGACATAGCACTGCCCATCAATTTGAATCCGTAGTCATGAGACAATGTGCACTGTTACGAATACATGCTATATTGAGTAACTTCAATAATTTTGACTCAGATGGTGTCTGAAACCTATTTTTTTCTTGCATTGATGAAGAATCTACAGGTTATATTCTTAGTTCTTAAAGAAAATGAGATTAATTACTATTGATACTGCTGATTAGTATGGTATTTAACATCTTTTCTTTGGATTTTTCTATTATTTGTCATTATTTTTTGTTAGTTATCGTACCTTTCATGATTTTAAATCTATTTGAGAATTCATAAAAGCTTAAAATGTAAAATTATTAATCTATTTATCAAAAATTCAGTGTAAAATAGAATGAATGAGTCATAAAAATATGCTGATTAAAGGACATGATTTATTGTTTGTTGCTTGAATTTTTATCATTCATCGATACGACACAGTGATTGGTATCCAAATATTCATAACTATATTATCTATAATTTCTTTAGCAGATGAATTTCAATTCGATGTCGTATTTGCTTGGAAAGTGATCAGATATAAAACCTAGATATCGTAGCCATTTTAGCAGAACGTTCATAATTACCCCGTATATCTGGCTTGTGTTCATAATAGCCCCGATGGGGTAATTATGAACGAATTTTTTTTTCATTATTTTTTATTGCTCTGTATTGTTTTTATTACTGTTAACTCAAAATAAAGTATGTAGACTGATCAATTTTACCGATTATAGACTAAACTATGCTCTATCTATTAGTGAAAAAATGACTAATTAATCTTTTTCCTATGATTACTAAAGTGATTTGGAATGAACTACAATTATTACTGGTAATTTAGCTGAGTGTTCATAATAGCCCCATGCTATACAGCAAGTGTTCATAATAACCCACAGTGGGGCTATCATGAACAAACTGCGAAGCTTCTAGCAAAACAGCGGATGAACAAGTTCCTGAAGGTATTTCTAGGAGATTTTTAGATAGACATATAGAGAACAGTTCACGCTACACGTCAGTCTTTTTTTGTCGAAAAAATAACAAAAATTAAAACTTTTATAAAGCTTTATGTTTCGATTGTTAAAACAATGTTCACAATAGCCCCTCACTACTCTATTTCTCTATTTAAAAGATATCAGTTCACAGTTTTGTAATATCTAATTCAATGCACGATTCACTCTTCTTTTGTTTCTATAATCAAAAGACATCCACTTTCTATGCTATCAATCGAAATGATGATAATTATTTCAGTATAAATTTTTTTTAGAAAATTTAAATGGCACGCCATTTTTGTGGTATAAACAACATATTTTTCTTATTCACGTTCGTTTTCAACATTATTTTTCCGTGTCATTTGATTATCTCGTCGAATAAATTGACCTTATTTTCGGCTTTATTGGGCATTAATAGCAGATTTCCAACCATCGAATGCTCGATATTATAGAAAACAACGAGTTCTGATCTTATGTAAATGAGCAACTAATTATAGACAGTAGTACATTGTAAAAACAAATCCGCAGAATAATAAACGGAAAAAACGTTTTTGATGGGGTATTTAACAAAAAAAGAATTTATCATACGTTGCACTTTCATAAACCCTTTTTTTTACGGTGTATCTTTATATATCGGTGGATTTTTCTGAGAGAGCGAATTCAGATGTTCTAATAATGCAATACAGAAATATTATGTTATTTGTGAGAGTGCGTCTTTGCTACATCAGATTATTCTTATATCATGATACAATAGAACTTTATCAAATATATGGAAATTTTTAGTAGATCATCTGCCTAGTACAAATCTAAAATAACTGCAAAAGAAAGCGTCAAGAGGATCTAGAAAATATTAAATGTTCATAATGTAAGACTGTTCCAAGCTTTTTTGCAAACCATGATATATGCAAAAATTTAAAATAAACCAGCAACTGATATTGCTCTTTAATTAACGCCTAGAGTTTATTCGATTGATGTCATTTACTAATTGTTTTTTTCAGAGCTATCACATATACAACAATAAACTACAAACATTCTAATAGTGCTTATTATTTTTTTTCTTTTGACCAGTGCCCTGGCGGCGCCAGGGCTGGCCCACCCCTAGTTACGCCACTACTAAAATATACGTGAGCTTCACAAATAGACGATGTGCGGTAAAGTATGGATTAGTATTCGATTGGTTCATTTTGTCTATGTGAAGTGAATCACATTCCTTTGTTTGGCTGAAGTGTTTGACTCACTGTCTTCGATTCGATCATTATTTTATTAAATAATTCTCAGTGAATTTTTGAGACATTTTTTTTTTAATGCGATGCGAAGCATAGCATTTATGTAGTTCGTCGCGAGTTTTTTTTTTCTTTTACTTTCTCGACGTACGAATGTTTTGATTCTTTATTCAGATTAAAAAGCACTCTTAGATAGTATAATAGATTCGAAAGACTTGCACTGTATTATATGAAACTTTCATAGGTTGGGGCTGAGCCCCCTCAGTTCGAAATTCCTGGCGCCGCCGCTAACGAGCACGACGACCAGCAAAAATTTGAAAATAAAGATCGTCGTCTCGAATACTCCAATTAATCTTTCGACCTTGAGTTGAAAGAATGGCAGCAGCTTTACGACTAAAATTTTTGTGATATTCATAAAATAAAGGAGGGGGAAATTGAACTCCCATTTTAGCAATAAATGATAAATAAATATTGAGTTCAACTAGGCGTTCAGGGTGTACTTCAGTCATAACATTCAAGTAACGAATAAAAGCTAACATACATTCAGATAGAGATAACGATCGATGAAGACGTGGATCGGTAGATTTAAGGTAAATCGACGTGGAATCTTTTATTCCGTCTTGGTATTGTGAGACAGAATGTTCTTCAGGTATCAATAAATGTGCCAAACACACATCTTTTCCTTCTTGAATAGCTTTTCGAAGAGATTGCGGTATAAATTCCACCATTGATGGAGAATTACTACAATCAAATATCGGACAGTTAAATAATGTATACGTACGAGGAGAAGTCTTGATTCGCTCAGCAGCATTAACTGAAGTTTGTTCCACTGAATCACCATTATTAGATTCGATATCGAATGATGGATAAGAACCAGGTAATTGACAATTAGTAAATTCATGATCATCAGTAGTGGTGTTTGATGAGCGAAGATTAACATCATTCTGGTCAACAAGTTCACGTAAAATATCGAGTGATAATGAAGCAGGCACTTTAATGCCTAAGTCCTTAAGCATCTTGAGCAGTTGTACACGTGTCTTATTGAAACTGTACCGAGATATGTTTTTATTAGTTGTTTTAGTATTACGAAGATATCGGGTGACGATTTCAGTTTTCTTTGATTTTACCATAATTGCCGATCAGGAGAAGATTGTAATAATAGAGTTAGCAAACACAAAGTAGTTATAGTAGAATAATGTAAGAATGATAGAATACATTGTAAATCTATATAGCAACAGCAAATAGAAATTATTTAAATAATATGCAAGAAGTAAACACGCTCATCATTGATCATGAACTAACGTTAGTGCTCGTCAATCACCAACTAATATTCCATGATTCATTATCTTAGATCAGCTGTAAATGAATAGACTATAGTGGCTAACATATGTTCATGACGTCACTTTAATTATCTTGCAACAGATTTCTTTCATTTTTGTCATTTTGGAAGCACATTTATGAACGAACGAAACTGCAGATTGAAGATTCGAAAACAGATGTTCTTAGTTCGATCTTGATACTTCGATCTCACGTTTCAACGAGTTTTCTACGATTTTCGGTTCTCGAGATCATCGCGACACAAAATGACAACTTGTGATGCGTACGATCTCAAGTAACTAGATGGCATTCAAGTTTCACTCGAATACGAAATGCGATGCGAAGCAGGAATCTCGATCCAGGAAAAATCTTCAATTCAGAGAAATCTTGAATACTTTTTTTTGACGACATAATAAA